TGCATAGTGAAGGGATTTATGATAAAATATCCTTGGTTGGTAGGTTCTTAGTTTCGGCCTACAGATATTCTACCCTCCCCAAAAGGTGGATTCCTTAAGGGTTTCATGGATTAAACTAAAGGGAAAGGCACTAGGGCCTCCCTTAAGCAGAGCCTCTTTGTAGACCAAAACTTTCGTCTCTAAGGTCGTAAAAGGTCTCACCATGAAATTTTGGTTTAAGGGTCATACAAAAATTATAGGTTTCATTCCAAAGTCCTACCCCCAAAGAGGATACCCCTTGATACATATTTCTTTTTTTGAAATTCCACCGACTCTAGGCAAAGTCGTCAGAAAAAATCATAGGGATGATATATCCCCTTGGCCAATAGATGAAACTTCTTTCTAAGGTTTTGAAAACATATGTTTTCTCGAAATTAAATCCCGCCGACAAATAAAAATAACAATGGTAATAATAGAACAGTAGGTAAATAGACAAAAATAAATAAATAAAATAAATAAATAAAGCAAATAATGAAAACAACAAAAACCCAAACAAAACTCTAAACCTAAGAGGAAAGCTTCTAAATCCTAGGGTTGAGTCCCCAGTAGAGTCGCCAGCTGTAATAACAGGTTGAAAATTATAGAGTCGACACCATTAATTTTTATCCTAGGAAAGAGAGTATAATGGATAACCCTAATTTGATCAGAGATTATACGTTGTTGACTCGCTTTAGACGAAGGGAAGGTGTTAGGCACTCTTCATCTGTGTTGTTCACGAGGATACTAGGGCTTAGGTTTACGATTTAGGAATAGGGTTTGAATTTTAATTAGGGGAACTCGCCATGATTTTAAGTCGTATGCCTACGTATCGTCTTATGAGGAATCAAAGTCCCAATTCGTAGTTCGTAGTGGTTTGATTTTTTTTTATGGACTATGGAAACATCTTGAATTCTCCTTGAGCCAAATCTAGGTGTGTGAATAGCGAAATTTATAGACGAAGTTCGTAGTCGATAGAAGATATTTCCATAATCCTTTTTGAAAATGATATCTTGAGTTTATTAAGTTAGTAAAAAAAGGTTAGTATTTGATTGGTTAGATGTTTTCAAATGTATTATGTAATATGAGAAAAAATATTTTTAATGCACGAGAAAAAATAATTAAATGCAATTAAAGTATTAAAAAATTAGTTAGTATTTAAAAAAAGAATTTGAATTAAAAATAAACAATTTTAGAATTTATTAAAATAAATATATTAAATATTAAAAATATTAATTATAATATAAAATAAAATAAGTAAATGAAATATAAGATATAAAAATAAAATTAATTTTAACAAAAATGCAGGGGGTGCATTTTATTTAAGTTTAGTAATTCTTGGGGGAGTAAATAATAAGACCTTAAATCTAAATATTAGATTTAGGCCCAGTTGCATGAGGGGTGAGAATTTAGTTTTGTAGTAATTCCAGGGGGGTATGGATAATAATGGGTCTGAGCCCAATAGTCTATTTTTTTAGTCCAACTTACACGGTGTGTAGATTTTAGCCAGACTAGTAAAAATAAAAAAAACAGGGGCGTGGATGGCAATTAGGCCCGACCCAAAAATTGAACAAAGAAAGATTTGTTTGGATCCTGTGTATGCAAGTGCATGGCATTATCGTGGTCTCGCGGTGTTTGATCAAGATTAGAGAGTGGAAAGGGTGGGGGGTATATGGTGGCGGTACACGGGATCACGTGGCCAGATGTTGGCCACGTGACCCAATGGATCAAGGCAGAGGGAGTATAACCTTGTTTTTTTAAAATATTTTTTTCTCATTTCTTCATTTGTTTTCTCTTTCTCTCATTAACCTCTATTCTCTATTCTCTCTTCCTACAACAACACATCAACAACCCTAAAGCCCTGAACCCCTCCCCCGCCCCTAGGCCATGACAACCTAAGGCGGAGGCGACCCTAACCCAACCCATAACAAGAAACATAAATAACAAACCCTTAAGCTGAGTGTTCGAACGTTACCTTCGATGCCATGACTCTCTTTTTACTCTGATTCGTCTAATCTCTCTCTTTTTCTTTTGGTTTATAGGTGTAAAAGACAAAGACATTAATGATGATGGAGGCACGACGAATGAAGATCAAATTGCAGTGCAATGGAACAATCAGATCTAGGGTTTTGGACTTCGAAACCCAGATCTTATTCCTCTCCTTCTTTCTATTGCTCTTCGTCAAGCTTCTTCTTGTTCTTCTTCTGTCACGATTTCTGTTTTTTTCCTCTTGTGATTTTTTTAGGGTTATTTATAGGTTAGAAATTTAGATAGATTAGGAAGTTTTATGTTTGATTTTCGTTATAAAATTTGTGATTGATTTAGAAATTAGATTTAGGGATTTGATTATGTTAGAAGATTTTGTTGTAAATTAGAGATTTAAGATTTGTGTATGTAATTGATACAATTTGATACAATTAGATTTATAAACTATAAATTTTTATATGACTTGATTCGTTTTTGTATGATCTGTACAATGCTTGTTTTTTGCTGGGTTTTTGGGCCTTGTTATCTAATTGGGTTGCTTAGTGGCTTAGGGCTGATGATGAAGAACGACGACCGAGGATGAATTAGGGTTTGAAACCCTAATTTCTATTTTGACTTAGTCGATAACAACAAAAAATAATAATAAAATACAGATTATAATAACTATAAAAATAATGGTTTTAATAATAATATTAATAATAATAACACTTAATTAATAAAAGGTTTATCATAATCAGATAATGATTAAAATAAAATAATAAAAAATAATAATAACCTTATTAAAATGAATGTTGACTTATTTAAAAACCCTCTTACTGGGCCGTACGGACAAAACATCCTGGGTCTTTCTACTAAAAACGCACCCCTCCTTTGTTATCCCAAAAATGAAAGTATATAGGTCAAAAGAACTAAACGAGCCCTTCTGATTTAGAAAGCCCGCAATATTTTAATGGTTTCAAACCCCCTTATTTATAAATTAAACATAAAAGATTAATGGGCCATTAGATTTTGATGGTCCATTAAGGCAATACACCCATTTATTAATATTTAAAACCCCGATTAGAATAAGACTTAAAAATAAGCAAACTTTCACAATACGATTTATAAATTAGCAACATAGTAATAATATGATCATTGAAATTGAATGGGAAAAATTCATGGTATGACAGATGAAACAAAAAAGCTTAATGGGCCATCAGATTTTGATGGTCCGTCAAGGAAATACACCCCTCTTATTAATATTTAAAACCCAAATTAGAATAAGACTTAAAAACAAGAAAACTTTCACAATACGATTTATAAATTAGCAACATAGTAATAATATGATCATTGAAATTGAATGGGGAAAATTTGAGGTATGACATATTGTGGTAGACATAGTGTTCTCACTCAGAAATCTTTAGGTAATGAGTTGAGTATTGTTCTACTCTAAGCTTTTAAGCAAAGAGTTGAGTATTGTTCTTGGTGGAAGCTTTTAAGCAACACTGAGTGTTGTTCTTAGTCAAGAGTCTTGACTAAGTATTTGTATTGGAAGTTTAATCTTCTATTAGGTTTATCCTTATACTAGTTACTATGATTGTATCTGGTTTATAGACTGACACTGATATTGGAGCAGGTCTTTTATCACTGCAGTGATTGAAAGTGAGATGGTGATTTCTCATATCTAGGAGGTGCCTAGGTAGAAGTTGCATTGAGTAAGGATTAATCGAGAAGTTGTAAACTGGGATTATGTAGGCTCCGAATTAATAGTACTAATAATGGATTTCCTTCCTGGTTTGGTAGCCCCATAGTAGATAAATTGCACCGAACTGGGTTAACAATTGACCGTGTTCTTTATCATCTGCATTTAAATTTTGCATATTATTTCAATTTGATATTAGTATTCAGTCTGTCTACAGATGTTATAACATTTGTCCTGACATCATGCTTTGATGATGAAAACATCAGTATAAGCATGTTGTGCATCAGTACTAGAATTTCATAAAGAATGAAAGTTATAAACTTTCAAAATAGTAAAAAAATTCTTCTTTGTGTTGATTCTCGACTAAGTGTTTCTCTCTTGTTTCGACTTGTTTCTTTTGAATATATGTTTATCGTTGTTCATTATTTGTTATTTTCCATGGCTTCAAACACTTCTTTATATATATGAGAATAGATTCGTTGGAGGGTGAAGTTGGAATTTCATAATCCACCTCTTGCATGAAGACGTTGACTAGTACAATAAAAGAGTGGCAGTAGCAACATAATGGAAGGTGAGGATGTGACGTATTGAAAAAGTTGGTATTGACAAACATTCATTTTTTCCTATCTCACAAGGTAAGGTAAATGATGTTGATTTGTACTATTTTAATATTTTCACAATATCTTTCTTCATAGTAATCTCCTTAAGTTAGAGGCTTCCAATAGAATATGGTGAAGCTTGATCAGAGTCTAGAGTTACTATCTTTATTCTCTTATAACCCACTTGAGTCAGAAGCTTCTGATATAATTACGCAAATGAAAATGCTTTGAATGGATTAAACCAAGATCACGTGAAACTTAAATTCCTAGACCTAATGACATGAATAAAAGGAGGGACTAAATTAGGACACCATACAAGGGACACAATGCAAGTAAAATTTTTATACCTTTATCTTGTTCTAATAATATAGGCCATTTTACATAACTCATTCATATTTTTTCTTATATACCAGGGTCGAAAGAGAGGCAGAACTTTCACTACTGCCACACCGACTATAAGAAAACCAAGAAGAACCAAGAAACTGAAATTACCGACAATGAAGAAACTCAGGTTTAACTAACCCTCTTATTTCTTTCATTTCATCACATTTATCCTTTATCATGAAAATGATTTTGAATATCTTAGTCTGCACAAAGGATCCAGGAAGAAAATATAGAGATAGAATTCACTGCTGATAGTGACGATAGTTTGATTTTGACTCAACCCATCCCGCTAAGCATCAAACTACCACGACCATAGAGTTGATGCGTCAAATTTTATGGATGGGAAAAGGGACAAGACTCCTACTGAGACTTCTAGACATCGAAATGATAAAAAGAAGAAGAAGAAAACAAATAAACAAGCTTATGAGGCCAGCCCAAAAAAGTCAGAAAAGAAAACATTGTTACTTTTGATGATAGAGGGAATGGAGAAGAAGAACACCTCAGCTAACCAGAAAAAAACAGGACGAACAAAGCCACGCCGACTTGAACAAAGCCCCAAAAGTGCCAATTCGAGTCCAGATTTCAAGGTTACTGAGATATATGTAAATTTCTTTTCATCTCCAATTTAAAATTCATCTTACATTCCACATTTTCTGATTAGACTTTGCTTTATAGAAACAACCCCTTAACGTTTTACACCCCTCATCAAAACCAAAAACTGGTAATCCTCTATCACACACGTTAATTCAAGCATCCATTGGTCGACCCCCTTAGGAACAAGTTCACCATTAGTCCAACCAATGACAAATGATAATCTAGTCAGAGGGACAATTGTTAATCAACCAGAGAAAACAGTTAGAGGGACAATTATTGATCAACCAGAGAAAACAGTCAAAGAGAACATTGTTGATCTATTCGACAAAATGGATGAAGGTCACCAACCATGACCATCATCTGATTCGCCAAACACCCAAAGCTCTGAAAACCCTGACCATCAATCGATTGACTAGTCAAGAAAAAGTGCTTCGACATCAGGGACTCTAGATCACACTAACCAATTACAAAGGATTCAAGTTGCTAGTCCAACACAAGAGGAACCAAATATTGGCCGAGATAAAGAAAGTCAAGGCCCTATCCAACCTCATCCTGTTATGGTCGAATGGGAACAAACCCAAATGTCTTGTGCTCTAATGCCTTAGCCAACAGCCAAAGAAAGCCCAAATTCGACTTCTTCATTTAACACTTTCAACACGACTCTTGATCAATGAGGCCTAGATGGTATCAAGGAGAAGAACCATGTAGAAGATTTCAAGATACTCATGGGTAGTCGAGGGACTCCAACCAAATACTCTCCTAACTCTTCACATGTTCCATGAAATGAGCCTTCTGGTGATTCCTTTGATGAGTTAATCCAACAATTGAAAACAAAAATTATCGATATGGATCTATTTCAGAACGTAAAAGATAATCATTCTTCTATCTACTATATTAAGGGATTGTTAACACAACTAAACAAGCTAGAGGTGCCTGAATCTATTGCCAACTTTATTCTTGATTTCAAGTCTTTTATTGAGAAAACCTTTTAAAATGTAAGGCTTAAATGGGAAAATGCTAATAGATTTGATTGAAAGACTAATGTTATATCTCAACAATGGGACTTGGTCACTCGATCTCAAAGTCGAATCAAATAGTAGGAAATGAAGGTTAAACGAGATAAGGATCAACTGGCTACTTGTTATACCAACATTCTAAACTGGATGCAACAGATGGACAAGTTACAACAGAAAATTGAAGCGACAAAAAAAAGAGAAAGATGAGATTGATAGTTTAAAACTAACTTTTGTCAAGGAGAAACTGTTTGAAGAGGATGAAATTAGTATTCAGTATGCTAAAACTCATCGTGTATTGGAGAAAGAAGTCAATAAATTGAGGGCTTATGATTCAATGACTGACAAGAAGATTCAACTTTCCAAATTACGGTTTGAGAAAATGAAAGTTGACTTCCTATCTTGAATTTTTCGACTTTTTTGTATTTTCCTTCTATTGTATCAATGGCTCTACCATTTTGGCATTTTTTGAATTAATGCCAATTTATCTCTATATTTTTCCATGCATTACTACTCTCCTGCTATTTGAATTTCTTGCAGCGCGAGCTTGTAACTTTTTAAGTACTTGCCAATTATTCTTAGGATTCGACCTTCAAGACCTACCTCTTTCACTTCATAAGCATTATTTGAAAATGCTTGGTTAATTCAAAATGGAAATTCCCAGTTTAGTGACCACTTGCCTACAATTTTGTCCTTTCGATACATAAGTAGAATAACCTCTCAAACATAATCCCTAACTGAACAAATTATCGGCTTAACCTTTTTTTTGTAGCCTTTATTTATTCATTCCTTTTGTCTTATAAGAACGATTAGAGCAACTAACCTATCTTCATCAAAATCATCTAACTCATCTAACATCATACTCCAATACTTGCCTTTGAATCCTAGTAAACTACAAATAAATCTTGACAGGTAAGACTGCATCAATGAACAAATATCAGTCAAAATGGAGTAGGGTTGGTTACCTCTTTAGGGGAATTTTGACAAGCCCATCGTGCTTGATCCAAAGTCTTATGTCAACTCATCGGCGTATAACCCATGTGTATTTTAATTAGTCCTATGATAATTTCATTGGCTGCTTTGACTTTACCATTTGCCTGGGTGTAGTAAGGCATCGATGCTAAGAGATTAATTCCTGAATCTAAAGCAAATCCAACCATCTTTGGGCTAGTAAACACTGAACTCTGATAAATGGTTAAGGTTTCAGAAATTCCAAATTGTTGCTCCTTAAAACTTTCCCTCTGGATTTTCAATTTTATTTGTCTTATATTTATCATTGCATTTGCATACATTCCATTAGGTTATTTGTATATCATGCATTTCATTCAATAAAGGCACCTTAGTTTAAAAGATCAGTGGTCGTGCAAGTTAGGGTTTCATAGTTGGTTTGAAGTGTATATATCAAATAAGATTGATTTCATCTAGTTCTCGCTTTGAGCATTGGGCTGTGGAATTGGGGTTTTTGTTCAGGGTTATTGTGGACTTCTTTATCCATTAAGTATGCATCTAAGGCAAGAAGATTGGGTTTACATCATATCATTTATGTTTGTTAATTGAGGTTCATTGGACATCTTCTACAAGATTCCTCAGGGTATTATTTTTGGTAAAAACCAGGTGAAGAGAGATTTTGTCAAGTTAAGGCATCTTACGAATTGAATTGCACAGGTAGGGAGTTACCACACAAGGATGAGGTTGTGGATTCACTAAGATCAAGTCATTTTGGTTCACTTATTGCTTGTTATACATGTTTGATGGAGATTGAAAGGGTGGATCGGTGTGGATTTATGCTATGAATTCAAAGTGATTCAAATGAATCAAAGTGTTTAGAGCTTGTGAAATTGGAAGGGATATATATTTGGCTTGCTAGGGATTGAAGTTACAAGACATTTGTGGGGCATTTTATCCATTTACCATCAAGAATTTATTCAATATTTAATTCACTTTTGATTACCTTGCAAATATTCTGGATTCATATCGTGACCATTTGAATTCATACAAAGGAATTTAAAGGAAATATTAGAGGAAAGAACTTGGAACTTCAAAATCAATTTGAAAGAGAAAGGTACTTTGAAGAAATTGTCATTGAATTCCAAAAATTACAAACAAGTTCTTGCATGATTCTTTTCCAATACCAAATATATATATATATATATATATATATATATATATATATATATATATATATATATATATATATATATTCCAATTTATGTGGTCATTAAATCTTGAAACATGGAATAAAAGGGAAAACCTTACAAACATGGTCCATGGTTCCTAAAGTACTAAGCTTTAAAAGCTAGACAATGCCTTGCCTAAACCTAAGTATGAACCCCACAACCAGCATCTAGATCTTTCACTCCACATGGACATTCATTACTTCATCATCATTTTAAACTCCATATGCAAATTTCAAAAACTTTGTTAGATTTGGACCTGCATAAAACCAATCCAATAACAGGAACAACCCTGCATCAATTCAGAATAAAACTGCCTCAAGTTTATTTTCAACACAAAAGATGTAAAATAAAAACCGAAACAGGGAAATAGAAAACAGAAGTAAAAATTGTTCAGTAGCTCATCAAAGCAATAAACTAATTCACAATTGTTTACATAAAAAATAGAAAGTTTGCTTCAGTTCAGAAAATATGTCAGGAAATTATTAAATCAGTTCAAGCGAGAAAATACAAAAAAAAAATAAAGAAAATTGTCAAATCATAAATACAGAAGAAAAGAGGCTAAAATGGAAACAAAGAAAGTCAGAAAAATTACATCTCATAATTGATCTCACTCGTTCAAGCTTGTAACTAACTCTCAGATTCAAGGGCCAAGATCTACTCACCTGTAACTAACTTCTAACAGATATATAACAAAATCATCTTCTTCAATCGATTCATTTTTTGCATTATGAAGAATCACCAAGAAAAACTAAGAAAGTTTCTCTCTGTTGTCTTTATCCTATCTCGTCATCATGCATAAATCTCAAAATCTCTCTAAATCAATTCTTTTCAACTGCTTCAATCATCTTTAATCTTCATCATATCATCTCTGATTCAAGAACTTCATCTTCTCCGTGCACCTTCACCTGTTCATAATCAACACATGATCTTCAATCTTCATGAACATGTGAATTGTACCTTCAATCAACAATCTTCATTGAAATACTTTGCTGAATCCGCTCATCATCAGTTTATACAATGACAACAAAAACACATAACAACATCATATTTTCATCATCACCTAGAAACGGAACAACAACACAAAAAGCACATAAATGCGACAATGCAAGAAATAAGAAGAAATTGAAGAAGAAGAGAGAAGAGTGAAAGCATAAGGATTATTAACTGATCTATGTTTCTTTGTTTGATTACATTTTTTGTAGAAGAGTTGTCTGAGTATCTTTGGCAGGTAAGTAACGGTTTTGTTTGTTCCTCCTCATCCTCGCATCATAATATGTGTTGTAGCGTTGCCTAAATGCTTGATTCATTAGGATTAGGCTCAGATTTGGAGGTTGTGATGAGAATAAGGTGAGGAGAATGCAAATGCATGGATAGAGAGTGAGATGAACAGAGGAAGAGGGATGAAGCACGAAGAGTTGATGGAAGTGAGAGGATGATGAACAATGACGAGAGTGATTATTCGTTGGTGTTGGTGCGGCGGTCATGGCGTTGGCACACCAGAAGAAAAATTGGAGAAGGTGATGTTTGGAGCACTTTTTGAGAGTGAGGGGGATAGATGGTGTTTTCAAGTGAGCTGAAGAGTCATAAAAATTTGAATCCTAATGCCTCACAAAATGCATGCATTTTTGTTATACTCGTTTTCATTTTTTGTTAGTTTTTAATTTTAATTCATTAATCATAAAAAGGATTAAAATACTGAGTGAGAATTAAGTGGTTTTGGCCGAGAGTGGACTGAGTTGTTCTCTGGGACCTAGCATGTGGAAATTGTTTTTAGAGCCTGAAAGAGTTAGGAAAAACTCTCTTGGACATTTCGTTGGGCTCTGCACCCTTCCCATAAACCCACGCACCGCCATTTTGTCGAGCTGAAGGCTGAAAAAAAACCGATGTTGGACTGTTTTAAGTTTGATCCTTAGTGCCTGGTTCCTTTACCACACCCCTGGATTTTGGCTTTCCTTCCCAGGCCTATTTTATTTCATTTTCTAATTCTTTTATTGATTTTTTTAATTGTTTAAAATTGTTTGAATTTTCTTCACATGATAAAAATAATAAAAAGATAGTAGGAATATGCTAATTGATTTTAGGACTTTTATTTAGAATTTAATTAGAATTTTCTAGTATTCATTTCATTATTAATTTTTGTTACTACTTTTGCCATGATCTTTTGGTAGATTTTAGTACTAGTTTTTGTGTGATATTGTTGAATAAAAGAGACTTGGGGTTTCAAAGAAAAATAAGAGCTCAATCTTCATCAAGGAAGCTTTATGTAGAGTTTTCTTATTGCTTGCATGGCTTTGAAGAGGCAACATACATTCTCCGTTAGATATCACTTGAATCTTTCTTTACTCTCTAATTTAAGCATCGATTTAGATCATTCTTGAGATGAGAAGTATGATAGAAATGACATGAGCTAAAGTC